GAGAAGGGTTAATGTAGAAAACTTTCATCAGGACATTTATCTATACCACTTTTCATTCTGACAGAATTATTGTACACTGGGTAATAAAAAGAGTTTGAAGATTTGATCACGCTGGAAAAGACTGTAGTTAAAAGGATCTACTGGGAATGAGCTTACAGACGTGAACTGAATGTTTGTCTTACCTGCAGCTGCGTTGCCAACTCGTCAGCATTACTGAACACCAAACCGTTCTCTCTGTGCTTGACTAACTCATCAATGCTATTTTCAAATACACACATACAGAGGCAAATATTAAACCCCTATCTAGTCAGTCAAACAAAATAGCAGAATGAACGACTCAAATCCAACGTTAACCTAACTACCTCGAGTCCCTCCAACTCCACTCTATGTTTTGTCAAGTTTTGGCTGATGCAGTCATGCTATACATTATAAACTTGATGTTGAACTTTTTGGATTGAGGAACAAAGGCCTAGAGTGATGGTGTTGGATTTGGTTTGAGTGTAGACACACAGCAGTTGCTCCATGGAGTGGCTGGCTAGTGGCACCAGGTATCGGACTGTGCTTGATTTTGTCAGGTTTGGTTCTACTATAAAAGTCACCGGTACACTACAGTGACCTATCCATACCAAATGACTCAAAACTTCAACACTGTTGACCAGTTGGAGTTGAACAGATTCTGTCCAGTCATGTGCCAGTAATTACAGTGATCCCCTTGTAGATACAAGTTGTATCTGTTGAACTTCATTAGGTTCGGTACTGTTTCTCGTCCAAAAACCTAGGCAGCCTAGGGGGTTTGCCTTAAATGCACATCTACTACCACCAACAGCTGAACATTTAAAAATGACAGGAACAAACAGATCAAGCAAATATCCTCATACGAGAACATGAAACTGAATTTGAACGGAAGTTCAAATTAACTACTTGAGTTTCATTTCACTGTGATGTAACTTACCAGTCATATTTCAGTGCACATACGGGTAAGCCAGAGCCAAACATGTCTACAACCTTCATTGGAAGGTCTAGGCCACTTGAGGATGCATGGAGACAGACACCCAGATCAGAGGAACCTGTTGGATCATATCATACATAGGTTTAAGAAACCAACAAAAGTAATGGACGTTGTGCGGATATAGCAAGGACAAACACAGAACTGCTTTCTCAGATGTGTTTGGAATTGTTTGAAGGACGGATTTTCTTCAGATGGTTGTGTCAAGTTTGGAGGTTGGGAAAAATTTCCAGGTTAATGTCACAGACTATCTTGGATGCGCCATCTTTTGAAAATGGTGATGACAGTGTTATGCATAAATGTAATTAACTACTGAATCTGTTAGGTCACCCTTTTCACACTATACGGTTCTAATAGGTCAAACTTTATTTTGCTGAGTGCTGAAAACACAGAGCTGTCACTGAAATCAATGTGAATTTTTTGTTTGTTTTTTTGGCCGACACAAACAGAAGCATTAGCGCTCTCAAATTGTAGACATGAAACATAATAAGAGAAGGCTTTGAAGACCATGACATGGGGACTGACTGACCGAGTAGCCGTGGGTAGTCTTCTGCTATGAGCCATGGTGTGCAGATGTGGACATTCTTCATGGTCATCTGTTCAATGATGGCTTGGTATCGCTTTTTCTCTTGTCCTTTGCCGGTGATAGCGCACACGATGGCTGGCAAGTTGGCTTCTTCTTCACATGCCTTGTCGTATTCTGTAACAAGAAAATAACCAACATTTGGTCAATTGTAAGAAATCAAAAGAAGAGATGACATCTGTGGGTGAAGTGCCATAGTTACTAGAGTGTCATGATACTTACTGTTTCCCTGGTATGAACTTCAACGTGAGAAATATTCTGGAAATTGAGCATTGATTGCAGCCCGCTGTGCAGCAGGCCAACAGGAATGCTAATTATCACAGCCTTTCTTTAAATTGTCAAAAAGCTGAAATTGTCACAAATGTCCCCCTCTTATTTTGGGTTGTAAGGTGGCAGGGGGGGGGGGAGAAGGCTTCATCCTACGTCAAATGACAAGTAGTGTTAGTCAGAATAAAGCTTTCTTTCTACATCTCCATCGTAATTTTACTAATGGCCGGTGAGCTATGCCGGGCAGTCAGCACCGAATAAACAGAACAATCAACAAAGTTTAAAACTTCTACAAAGCCATCAGAACAGCACACAGACGCCATCATTAATAATCACGCCGCTTTCTTTAAAAGTAACAGGGCAAGTGGACATGTACATTTTAAGGCAAACCTTACACCAATCAAGGATGCTGCTTTGTCAAACTTTTGTCAACCATACGAATATATTAGTAATATGGAAATCACTATGACAATTTATAAATGATAATTACTTTATTCAATTGTGAAGCGTAAATTTCATACAGATATGTTCAAATGCACTATACAGTGAAGACATTAACCCTAACCCTCCTCAATCCTTCACCTGTTGGAGGATTGAGGAGTGTTAGGGTTAAACATGGTCGAGTCAATGGCATACAAGGGCACCTCAGGCAGCCACCAAATGTCCATAACAGTTTATAATCTGCAGTTTAAAGCCTAGGCTCCGTTAAATCAATCAACTTACTCTGTAAAGCACTCAGCAAGATTGAGATATCTTCATCGGGTGTCCAGCTTGTACTGCTTATGATCAACGCTGGGCGATTTGCTTTCCTTAAGATCTCTCCTGATGCTGTCTTCTCTGTGAAGGCGGTGGATGTTTCTGACTTTGTGGATGAAGTAAATACTGTATAGTCCTCAGCTAACCTTGAAAAAAGCTGAATCAGAATCAAAATAATCAAAGACTTTCCACAAACATCAATCGAGGAGGAATTTCATACAAGAAAAAGTATCAAATCTTCTACAGTGAAACTCACAGTGACGGCTAATTTTCTTTATTATGCATTCGAAATAAGTGTCACAGTATTTGTGAGTAAGCCACTGCAATGTTGCTTAATCACTGTGCATGTACAGTGGAACGCTGCTATACTGAACATTCGGCTGTACCGAACATCGTCCTTGGCTCCCAATATTTTGTGCACAAAACCTACCAAACACTCTGCAGTTGCCGTTTGTAATTCCCGAACGTCCACTTGGTAATACAGTCGGTGTTTTTGTGTTGGAAAGTGACAAGTGGCCATTATTTCCCCAAGGATTAGAAGGGAAAGCCACTGGTTGTTGAAGAGTTAATTGTAATTAACTAGCTGAGAAACTGGGTACTTTGGTCCGCACTTCTAGTGACAGCCAGGTCACACATGGATAATCTGCCAAATGGTATTGAATGGACACTGGTTTTGTGACTCCACGTGATCGGGTGCGGAAGAAATGCATGCGCACCGTGGCATTGCACTAACATTAGTCTACAGAGGGCGCCGCTGATACACAAGCCACTGAGATTCAGCACAGCATGCATTAGAGATCGATCCTGAGTGGTAGCTTCACGACTTTTAGGATAAACTTGAAATCAATTTTGTAACTTAAGATTTAATAAAAAACAAAAATAATTAACAGATACATTTTAGAAACCTTAAACGTGAATGCAACGGCAAAAAATCACGAAAACAGTGAACCATAGTATCACAAGGGCGTAATTTAGTTAGACAAGAGAGGGTGCTATTCAACGTGGCAACAACCGCTGTACCGAAGATTTAGCGGGGGACCCTGGGGTGTTCGTTATAGCGGTGTTCCACTGTATTTTAATACTAGCAGTCCTCACTGAATGCCAAAAACTGACCACGGTGAAAAACACCACAATTATGAACACGGCAAAAACTGTAATCCATTGTCTTTAAGTCGTCACAGCATTGCTAAATCAAAATAGAAATTTTGCTTTAGCTGTAAGAAACAAAAAGGACCCAATCTGTTAACTGTCAATGGGAATTACAAAGGTACAGAAATGCTAATCAATTGACTTAACTTTCCATGTTTTGTAACACACAGGGATTAACAGATGAGTTTGTTTACCTCATGTTGGGATTCTAAAGGCGTTTCCTTGAAGACCTTGGGAGGTCTGTCATACAGTGTGATTGGTTTCTTGAGTCCAAACCTCTTCATTAGATCCTCCTTCATAGCATTGGTAACGCACAGATGTCCATCTCCCCATCCACCAAACACACTTTCAAACCTACAGCAAAACAGAGGCAAAATCTAGTACGACATTATATTCCCATTGACGTAAGTTTTGCCCCCCAAAACTTTCTACACCGGGAAGAAACCGTGCAATGGAACACGTATACAGGCCTACCCCACTCAGCATTGGTTTCACACTCCCTGTATAAGTGGCTAGAAAGGACAGATGCACAATTTCCATGTGGCAGAGGAGTGAGAAATATATGTAAGATGCCCTACTCATCAAAGAAAGGGGGTGCAGGTGACTCCTGACCACAAGGCATAAACCAATTAGGAGAGTGACCATGGCAACTGGGTATCTGACCAATCAGAGTAATGTAACCATGGCAACTGGGTTCCTACCCAGTTAAACAGCTGGACGGGCTGAGTGGACATGTAGGACGTGCCACATGTGAGTGCTGAAAGCACATGGGTTGGGATTTTTTTCTCCCTTTCTAAAATCTCTCGGCTCTCGGAGAAACGCTACATAATCTCTGATTTTCTCCAGAACCATTAAAGGAAAAAAAGAGCTGTTTTTTACTCCAGCTTCTAGCCGTACTACTAAGTTTTCAAATCATCCTGAACCAGTGGAAAGTGAGTCCCCAGGCAACTCAGTCAAAATGACTCAATGGCAACCCAACTTCACAGATCACTACTCACCATCTAGAGAATCTAACCAGGATATGGCCCTCTCCCAGAGTGAGACCCAGTAAGGTGTAGCCGTAATTATGCCAGTCGATCATGAACTTACTACCATACAGTCGGCTACACAGCCAAGCTACGGCTAAAGTAGGTATGGCTGGCGGGTTCTGTGAAGGAAAAGGCAAGACGGTCTACGATCAAGTTTTGTTAAACCTCAAAGTTACTCTTTGATGGAATGTACTTGCTGCTCGAGTACCTCAAGCGATATATTTGTAAAGGGAGTCTGGAGAGTTTCGACCCCTTGAAAAGCCATCACTGTACGGAGACACCATGACAAATGAAAACACACTGTTTTGTTTAAGCACTGCCACAAATTCATAAGGAATAAGCGAGGGTTAAAGATTATGACTGCAATGAAGTTGGCGCCTGGCCCTTAAATGGGTTTGCATGATAGCAATTTAAAATGGTTTATTGCTCTACCATTTACCTGAACCAATATGTGGGAAGGCCAGCGTAGCTTCATAAGCATGACCCACAACAGCTGCGTTGTCTGCCAAATCACTTTGAAAACGTAGCGAAAGAGACTCGGAATCACTGTAAAAAAAAACAAACGTGTCCAAGAAAGATGGCATTACAGGCAAGGTATTGGTGTTACTGCTGAAGGGCATTACTGACGCGAGCAAAGTGTTACAAGAGGACTATTCAAGCCTTCTACTGTTACTTTCTTTAACCCTCCTTTGGTTTTACAGCACAAATGTGCACAAATGCCCACAGTCACTGGTGAGTATGTAGTTTCTATATGGAACTCAAACATGCACAGGTTCAGTGTGTACACAGTTGATTGCCAGCACAATATG